CGACTGGGGCGCCAGACGCGGGGAAAAGGTGCGTTCATAAAATGAACTTACCTTTTTATCACTGTTTCTCCATACGGGTATATTTTCGAAGGCTAAAATTTTGTATGCAGGTTCGTTTCATGTTGTAGATGTGCAATAAGAAAGGATTGTTGAATATTCCGACTGGGGCGCCAGTCGCGCGAGAAAAGGTGCGTTCATAAAATGAACTTACCTTTTTATCACTGTTTCTCCATATAGGTATATTATCGGAGGCTGAAATTTTGTATTTAGGTTCGTTCCATGTTGTAGATATGCAATAAGGAAGGGTTTTTTGATATTCCAACTGGGGCGCCAGCCGCGGGGGAAAAGGTGTGATCATAAAATGAACTTACCTTTTTATCACTGTTTCTCCATACGGGTATATTTTCGAAGGCTGAAATTTTGTATGTAGGTTCGTTTTATGTTGTAGATATGCAATAAGGAAGGGTTTTTTAATATTCCAACTGGGGCGCCAGCCGCGGGGGAAAAGGTGCGTTCATAAAATGAACTTACCTTTTTATCACTGTTTCTCCATACGGGTATATTTTCGAAGGCTGAAATTTTGTATGTAGGTTCGTTTTATGTTGTAGATGTGCAATAAGAAAGGATTGATGAATATTCCGACTGGGGCGCCAGCCGCGGGGGAAAAGGTGCGTTCATACAATGAACTTACCTTTTTATCACTGTTTCTCCATACAGATATATTATCGGAGGCTGAAATTTTGTATTTAGGTTCGTTTAATGTTGTAGATATGCAATAAGAAAGGGTTTTTTAATATTCCAACTGGGGCACCAGCTGCGGGGGAAAAGGTGCGTTCATAAAATGAACTTACCTTTTTATCACTGTTTCTCCATACGGGTATATTTTCGGAGGCTGAAATTTTGTATGTAGGTTCGTTTTACGTTGTAGATATGCAATAAGGAAGGGTTTTTTAGTATTCCAACTGGGGCGCCACCGCGGAAGAAAAAGACGCGTCCATAAAACAAAATTATCTTTTCATCACTGTTTCTCAATGCCCTTATAACTTCCGGTGGGCGAATTTATATTCAGTAGCAGTAGTAGAATAAAATAGGGTTTCTTAAAATTATATTTCATGAAATAAGCTTCACAAATCTTCTACAGTTTGGACCGTTGTTTTGCCGTTCTGTTAATAATTTACAGTTCAATAAAGCTTCGAAGCGAGTTTCCTATCATGAAATAGCTCCAGGCTATGGGACTAGGCGTGTATCTGTCATTGCGATAAAATATAGAATTAATTAACGCGATCTTAGAATATTACGGTGTAAAAAAATCCCGACTGCGGTGTTTAGCTTTCTCTCCCATCATTAAAAATTACGTAATGCTGATAATTCATGTACCCCAGAGATTATCACTTATTATCGATGCCAGCCAAGCCAGCAACAAGCAAACAAACGAGTGTTCATAAGAGATGCAACAATGTTTACGTGACTTTATTTCTGAAACGAACTAGAAATCATTAAAACAATATCACACGTGCAATATTATTAAAATACTTATCATATACCGGGTGTCGACGAATCTATTAGACAAGTCATAACTTCTAGACTATTAGGTGTATAAAAAGGATAATTGGTATTGGTAAATACAAAATATCATTTAAATAATCATAAATAAATCGGCAACATGCATCCTATTAGTATTTTCCGTATGTTGAGAGTTGTTTTCGGCGAGAGGAAAATCTAAAGGCAGATCAGAGGTTTATCATAAATGAGGAGACTGAGATTAACGTTTTTGCAAAGGTCACGAAACAGCAAGAAAAATTGTGAAAAAGCAAGGATACCGACCATTCAAATATCAGTTACGTCAACATTTGTAGCGACGAGTAGTGTTTTGTAATTGGTTGTTTCAAAATCATAGAGCTAACCCAAATTTATATTTTCCGACGAATCACGGTTTACAAGTAAAGGCTTGTTTAATAAGCAAAACTCTGGGTACTAGGCCAAACTACGGCAATTTTCAAGAAAGGTTTAGCTTCAATGTCTGGACTGGTACCGTTGGACAAATAATGATTGGGCCAATATTGTTCCTAGGTCAGTTAACCGGGGTTAGGTACTTAGGTTTTCTTCAATATGAAATAGAGGATCATCTTAATTATCTACCTATAGTAGTTTTACAGTAAATTTACTTCCAATAAGATGGAGCACCCCCTCATAATACCAGAGACGTTTCTGCACTGACAGCAGACAAGCCCTATTAGTCTTGAACAGACAACGTGTTACCTCAGGGCTAGTACTAGAGGTCCACCAAGACTTAGCCAAAGCTTTGGTAGATAATAACATAATCCTGAGGTGGGTTTGAGGACACGACAGGAGTAAAGGTAATTGCATTGCCGACTCTTTAGCCAAGGAAGCGGCGAAGATGCACTTTTGCCAGGATCACCCTGGACGACCCTGGGAAGCTGGCGCCGAAGAAATATTTGGACCCACCTCCCTACTCTACAGATATAGATACCAGAGACGTTCTTGTTTACTTGATGGAGCATTTTATTAAATAAGTTATTGTAACCAATGGTCCAGTACGGTGGCCTGCCTGCTCACCGGATCTGACTGTGCTAGATTTCTTCGTTTGGGGATGTGTTAAAGAAAGGGTCTACTATGCAACAGCCCCAGCCACTCTGGAAATCTTACAGGAAAGGATTCTACAGGCGTCTAGAAGTAGAACGCCTCAAATGTTACGAAACAAGTTGAAGAAACAATTCAAAGAGGTGAAATGTGTCTTGAACAAGGTGAAATGCATTTTTAAAATTTACTATCGTAAGTAAATTAGTAACGTTAGATTCGTCGAAAGATCCTTTTTTCGAAAAGTGCTTTTCAAAAAATGGTCGCCATTTGAAAAATAATAGTTAGACACGAAAATGTTATTTTGTAAACTTGTCTCATTCATATTCAACACACTAGTCACTAAAACTTAGATGCAATTTCAAAAGTGACATACAATACTATCATTTCATTTCAGGTTTATTGTTGCTTAATATAATTGTTATTTTCAACTATTCTTTTTTAATTATTCTTTTTTACTTGTTTCAGGGATTTCAAATCATTTTATATAATAGACAATGGAAGTCCGAACTAGTGAAATTCAAAAATGAGAGTGTTCTACCCCGCTGATTTGTCTCTTCTTATGGCCGTAGCCTAGCAACGGTGGTACGGGGAGGGGGTGAGTTCGGAGGAGTAGGGGTTCCCTTGACAGTGGTGGCGATATATAATGGGAAGATGCCTGATGAAAGGCCTACGGGCTAGGACATCCAAGGCAAAGGCGTTATTTATGTCTAATAGAGTTGACAGCCGGTATACGAAGATGGAGTAAATATTTAGGACAAAATTTTAGGAGCTGGTGGCAAATTAAATGGTCTAAAAAAGTGTCGAATAACTGTATAATACACGACAGTAACATTTATTTGGTCTATTTCTATTGAATAAAAAGTGTTGGCTATAAATAGGTTTATGTTAAAGAAACAACTAATTTGGACAATTTTTCTCCGTGTACTACTCCAAGCACAGTGAACCCTGACCGGGACACCTTTCCTCGCCTGAAGCAGTTTCTAGTCATAAAATCCGATATTTCCTTTCCCATTCGAACTGGGTGAATCGATAGAAAACAAGAGTCTATATATGCGGCTGCAAGCATTGTTTCGCGTACCTTCACTATGAATCAAGATGGCACGTTTACGCCGAAACAATCGGTTGCTTTACGACGAAACAATCGATTGCTGACGATCAAGCGTGCGAATGTCCGTATAGAGAATACCGGCTGCTGTCTATTTGCCGGTGAGATTTCGCTGATTCAGCTTTCGTTTTTGCACAAAGACGTTTCATATTTTTTCAGAGTACGAGGTCAGTTCAAAAAATAAGGTGAATTTTCATTTGTCTCTAAAATATTTGTTTATTCATCAATTTGGTAAATTTTCGTTATGTGGACACCCGGCGATTTTGAAAAAATTTTTGACTGTACTTACGTATTTTGATGCGTAGATTACGAATCCGAAAGAAAAAAGCGGCACTCTCCCTTATTTAAAAAGTTACGGCCCTTCAAAGTTCAGAAAAGGGCAACTTTTCAGCCTTCTTTTTCACTAAATTAACTATTTGAAAACACAAGCATTTATTCACTAGGTCACCTTTACACCTTATTCCTCATTCTTTAACACTTTTCACTTCAATAATCAACATTTTTCTTATAAAAATGTTAAAAAATGTAAGGAGCTGCTTTTTGGTTACATATCACTGTATTTTACGTTTTTAAGGTTAATGATATGGTTGGTACGACTGATGCAGTCCATATTCCTGAAGTAATTCAAATGTTTTNTTGCAGTGTTGTGTTGGGAAAAAACTCCAGTAATATTACCTAATACTAAACTATGAATATCCTGGCAAGCAGGAATCATCGAATACTTACTTATAACTTGCAGCAGGAACATGCACATAAATCCTGCGGTAACTGCAACAAGTTGCAGTGTTGTGTTGGGAAAAAACTCCAGTAATATTACCTAATACTAAACTATGAATATCCTGGCAAGCAGGAATCATCGAATACTTACTTATAACTTGCAGCAGGAACATGCACATAAATCCTGCGGTAACTGCAACAAGTTGCAGTGTTGTGTTGGGAAAAAACTCCAGTAATATTACCTAATACTAAACTATGAATATCCTGGCAAGCAGGAATCATCGAATACTTACTTATAACTTGCAGCAGGAACATGCACATAAATCCTGCGGTAACTGCAACAAGTTGCAGTGTTGTGTTGGGAAAAAACTCCAGTAATATTACCTAATACTAAACTATGAATATCCTGGCAAGCAGGAATCATCGAATACTTACTTATAACTTGCAGCAGGAACATGCACATAAATCCTGCGGTAACTGCAACAAGTTGCAGTGTTGTGTTGGGAAAAAACTCCAGTAATATTACCTAATACTAAACTATGAATATCCTGGCAAGCAGGAATCATCGAATACTTACTTATAACTTGCAGCAGGAACATGCACATAAATCCTGCGGTAACTGCAACAAGTTGCCAGAATCCGTTGTGACGATTACTCCTTTCACGGGCTAGGACTTCGAAGAATACAACGTACAGGAGAGTACCAGCTGCCATTCCTTGAAGGACGATGGAAGTGACGTCTTCAGAGGTACTTTTTTCGCTCAGGATCAGACCGGCGCCGATACCTAAAGAAAAATAAGTATAAAGTACCTCTTCATATACTCTGTTTCCTAATATACGGCGTTCCAACATTACGGCCATCTTGTTGAAGATACAACAGTGAAGATCGAGGTGTACTGAGTCCGCTGCGTATTTCTATATGTACCGCTCTTGGTGGAATAAAATGTGCCAAGTCACTTGAACATTTCCCGTGAAAGTATCTATAGAAGAGAGACAAATATCCAACCTTTCTACGATGTTTCAGGCTATCACGGTTGCAAGTGATGCAAGTAGACAGTCGCTTTGATATCAATGATATCAAAAATCATGGAGAAAGCCGTAAACCACCATATCCTTGAATATATCGAGTGGTCCAACGAAAAGTATGCACCTTGCTTTTCTCCCTTTTTTGTAACTTAACGCAAAAATGCTCGGACAGGTCAGAACATTTACTCGATATTTTTGGTGTTGATGAAAATGCGGAAAAAACGGCATTTTTATCACTAATACATTCCTCAATTTCTCTCGTGCGTTTTTTGGTTCAAATTACAACAGCTGATAAATGTACAAAAAGAATTTAGGCAAACTTTCATTGATTCAGTTCGGTTGCTTTTGAAATTATTTCAACTTTACTGTAAAAATGGTTTATTCCATTCCTGAACGAGTTGGAATTGTTAAAGTTTATTATCAACAAAATACACACATCGGAAAAGTCTAGAGATATTTTTATAACATACTAAATATCATAAAAATGAATGCATGAGGTCGTTTAATTTCGATTAAGTTGGTACACTCGACCACCCTGTAGATTTCTATGGGTTGAACAAAGCCTGCAAAAACGGTAACTAATCTTGTATCAAGTTTTTTACAAACTGTAAGTTTTCGGCTAAAATGAATAATCTGAAAGTGTCGAGTTTGTACATTCTATGCAGTTCTTGCTCAGCAATTAAACTGGAAATATTGTTCTTTAACATGGAACGCCATCACTTACCATTGGCTGAGATGAATAGAGCTGTAGGGCTTCTTCAAGGTGGTTTGCGACAAAATGATGTAACTCTTCGTTTGGGGGTCTCCCAAAGTGTTATCAGTCGATTGTGGCGGCGTTTCCGTGAAACTGGCAGTCCAGCCGAACAACATCCAGGGCGAGGACGCGCTACAACTGCAGTTCAAGGCAGATTTTTGGTCTTAACCGCAAGAAGACAATCGACAATCACAGCACCTGAGTTGGTTAACGTGAAGCAGCAGACGCACCAGGTAACCATTGGTCATGATACTGTCAGAAATCGACTGCATGAAGCAGATCTCCACAACAGAAGGCCACTTAGATGTCCAACTTTGTTGAGAGACAATCGCGGTAGAAGATTAGAGTGGTGTCAAGAACATCAAAACAGGGATGCAAATGATTGGGCCACAGTTTTGTTTACAGACGAATCCAGATTTGGATTTCATCCAGATTCTCGTCGAGTAAGACTGTGGAGACTACCTGGAAATAATGAACGTTTGAGACACGTCCAGGAAGTCCACACATACAGAGGTGGTACAGTAATGCTATGGGGCGGAATCATGATCGGCGGCAGAACCGATTTCGTTTTTCCAAATCGCTCCCTCACAGCTCGACAGTACCTCGACACCATTCTTCTACCTATCGTCCGTCCGTTTGCTGGTGCTGTTGGTGAAAACTTCCACCTAATGCACGATAATGCTCGTCCACATGTCGCGCGTCTAGTGACTGACTGGCTCACCAACGAAGGAGTTGATGTATTGCCATGGCCAGCACAATCACCGGACCTGAATCCCATCGAGCATGTGTGGGACATGCTTCAACGAAGAATTACTCCGCATATGGGGAACATTCACACAACGTTTCAATTGAGAGAGTTTTTAATCGCTGAATGGGCAAATGTACCTCAACAAGACATTGACAATCTCATTTTGTCGATGGACGATAGATGTAGGGCCGTAATAAACTAGCGTGGAGGCCATACTTTGTACCGATTCCAATTTTTTTTGTATTATGATTTTTTTTCGGGGTGCCAAAGAAGAGCCATATTTTTTTTAGTTTTGCTTATATGCGCACTCAGTATTTTTGACCATTTAATAAATTTTGTTGTAAGTTACATTCGTTTAATAATCACCCGTCAACTTTTTTTTCCCTAAAGCGATCTAAAAAAAAATATTGCCATTTTTAAAAATATCCCCAGACTTTTCCGATGTGTGTAGTTGTGCTAGACTTACTGCTCGCCTCTTTAATAACAGTCATCCCGTGATGAATGTGAATGATTCGTACGTTGCCAAGTTAGTCCAAAAATTTATCGATACCGGATCTGTCTGTAATGTGAAACACCAGCCACGGAAACCGATCAGAAGTGAAGCAGTGGAAGTCGCTGTTTTGGGACCTGTTGAATTGGATCATACTCAAAGTACCCGCCAGCTTGCTGCAGCCTCAGGTGTCTCCCGTTCGTCCATAATACGGATATTAAAAGCCTATAAATTTCATCCGTACAAAATTAAATTAGTACAGGAACTCAATGAAGATGATCCTGATAGAAGGCTGCAATTTTGTGAACAACTGAGCCAGCTACTAATTGATGATCCGCACCTATCATTCAACACGTGCTTTTCCGATGAGAGTACATTTTTTTTAATGGAGCTGTGAATAGGCATAATTGCCGTTACTGGGATGACAGTAACCCACACTTATTCCGAGAGGTCCATACCCAGTACCCTCAAAAAATCAATGTCTGGTGTGGCATATTAGGTAGTCATATCGTAGGGCCACTTTTTATTCCTGGGAATTTAACTGGTGAGGTCTACCTGAACATGCTTGAAGATACAATTGATCCTCTCATAACAGAAATAATTGAAAATGACCAAAATCATAATGATGATCGGCTTCATTTCCAGCAAGATGGAGCACCTCTTCACATGTTGCTCCGGTAAGAGAGTTTTTAGATGACCGGTTTCTTGGACGGTGGATTGGTAGGAGAGGCTATATCGAATGGCCTGCCAGGTCACCTGATTTATCGCCTTTAGACTTTTTCCTTTGGGGACACTTGAAAAATTAATGTTTTGCTACGCAGCCCGAGTCCATAGAAGAGCTTCGCCAACGAATTACAGCAGAGCGCAGAAGTATAACACCTGATATGCTACAGAATGTTAGGAATAGATTTGAACAAAATCTGTATTATTGTATGGAAGCAAATGGATCACATTTTCAGCACTTGCTGAAGTAGGATTCTACTAATTCAATTACACATTTCAAAGTACTGGTTTGTAGTTGTTTTTCTTCATAATACCTACATGTTTGAGTGAAATACAACAAATTAGGTATCATTGGAAAGATAATTTTGTGTCCTTTCAAATTATATATCACTCGATCCCACTTTCCATTTAAAATTTTAGGGTTGTTACTCACCTTCGCTAGGGGGTTGAAGGCACAGGTAGAAAAATACATCAAAAATGTGTCCCCCTCAAAAGCAAAATTGACATGTCCGAGCATTTTTGCGTTGAGTTACAAAAAGAGGAGAAAAGCAAGGTGCATACTTTTCGTTGGACCACTCTGTATGTAGGGCTTTAACATCATGAGCGATCATCAATATGGCTTTCGGAAACAAAGAGGCATGGAGAGTTAAGAACTGTTGCGTTTGATATTTCTAAGGCCTTTGACCTTGTGTGACATGAGGGTTTGCTGGCCAAACTTTGATGCTATTACTTGTCGTATCATTTCTTTGTATGGCTCTTCAGCTCGATGGTCGTCGATGGTGTTTTCCAGGGATCCATATTGTCCCCAACCCTCTTTTTCATTGTGTATCAACGACTCATTGGAAAAAAGCAAGAATCCAGGACATTGGCTGTGGATGCACATCTTCACCAGCAGTAGGAGGTTGCTTACCTCAATGAGGATCTAGAAGTGATTTTGAATTGGGGTGAAAGTAACTAAAGTCTATCCAAATCCAAGATAGAGTAAAACAAAACAAACCAAAGCGTGATGTTCACGTGATCGCCCAGTGTCAGATGGAAAGGGCAGCGTTCATTGGTGAATTCGTCTTCTTGGTACGAGTTCGATACCAGCACAGTCGTTTGCATGTTTGTGTGGCGTGCGTTATAGTATATTGTTTAAAATTGTTTTCCAAGATATCCAGTACAGACACTGCTGATGACACTGTGAGCTATCCTCTGAGTCCAGCCAGGAAACGATCAAAAAAAGACATTTGAGTGTTGAGATGAAAGAAGTGAGATGTAAGAAATTGAGACATCGACTGTCGACGAAGTCGTATCGAAAGTTTCCGATAAAATTGGAGTGTGTTGCGCTTAGATTTACAATGTTTTACGGGACTATAATCAAAGTCATACATTTTCCAAATCGAATACAAATCAGAATCGTCAAACCATTATAAAATCAATAGATGACGCTGATAAACATGCAATCAGGAGGAAAGTGCATGAGTACTTTTTCAGAAATGAAATACCCACGATGGACAAAGTACTCACAGAAATAAATGAAGATGTTTTATTGCCAAGTTTTGAGCGGTCAACATTCCATAAAGTATTGAAATATTTGAATTTTGTATGGAAAAACGAGGGCGCAATAGTTTATTATTGGATAGAGAGGAAATTGAGAACAGAGAACAATTTATTATATGGATGAAACCTGGGTTAATGCTGGTCATACTACCCCTAAAGTATGGGTCGATGAAACTGTGACCTCATCTAGAAGGGCCTTTCTAGATGGACTATCCACCGGATTAACAAATCCATCAGGTAAACTTATATTTATATTTAGACCTGCCTCAATCTCAATATATAAAAAGTAACCCTCGTATTTGTTTTATTTACTTACATACCTCTTCATAATTTCAGGTGAAGGAAAACGGCTTATTATTTGTCACATCGGCAATGAGAATGGGTTTGTTGCTGAAGGGCTGTGGTGTTTTGAGTCGAAGAAAACTGGAGATTATCACGAAGAAATGAACGGTGAATCTTTCGAACAGTGGTTTTCCAAAGTTCTACCCCATCTGGAGGATAATGCTGTGATTGTAATGGACAATGCACCTTATCATTCGCGACGGTTAGAGAAGATTCCGACAACGTCTTCAAAGAAGGTTGAAATCCAAAATTGGCAGCGATCAAAGAATATTAGCTTTGAAGACTCAATGCTAAGAGTACAGCTACTAAAAATTGCCAAGGAGTGCAAGCTTAAATACCAAAAATATATAGTCGATGAGATGGCAGCAGGCCAAAACAAAATTGTCCTTCGCCTGCCTCCATACCACTGCGAGCTCAATCCCATCGAGTTAATATGGGCGGATGTGATAAAGAACATAATAAAGGCACAAATCGAGTCACTGATAATTCAGATTGGTGAGGATGACACTACTGATGAAGAGACAAATTCATCCAGTTGAATAATTTTGATTAATATTCCTTTTGATTTTACATAGAATAAAAATGATCAATAAAGAAATAATTACGTCTCTTTTCATATAATGCTGGAGTGCGCTGTGAAAAATCCAATGAAAATCTTTTTATATTACACATATTATCTGCATTTTTCCAGTTAAACTTCAAAACTTGTGCATTTCACTCGTTATTATAAAGAAAGTTTTCCTAAGTGTGATATAGCATTTGCGATCAACAAGATGTTGGTTCTGAATACGACCCTGGCCAATTCTTGGGATTTTCAATATCACGTTGTTTACATCCACTCTATCTTGGATTTGAATTTGCTTTAGGTTCAATTCAATGCCACAAAAACCCAGGCATTGATTTCCTTCAAATAGATAAATGTCTCCAAAATACATATAATGTCAGGCCAGGCAATTCCGCTTTCTGCTTCGATAAGTTTGTTGAAGGTTGAAATGGACGCTAATGTGTCTTGGCACACACGTGGGTTGGCTACCTATAGGGCGCGTTCCCAGGGGGCGGATAGGGGAACGGCCAGGGGACTGGGGGTTCTGTCCGGGAAACCAATATGGCCCTACAGACGGGGTCGCCGGACTCCTGGTCAGTGGCAGAAATAAGTAGGGTGAGGGGAAGTAAAACTCCTCAAAAGCCTTTACGAAACATGTCACCGTGGACCAGCCTACCCAAGCCAGGGTGTTAGAAATCGTGCCGACAGCTGAGTGGCCGCAGGGTGATATGCGGTCACGAACGATTCCCTTGGGGAACTGGGCAAAACCTCATTGTAATCAGCCTACCTCTGGTAATGCGGGGCCAAAAGTGACCAACTCTTTCCTTGCTACTCGTGGGAACACACATGAAATAAACAAACACAAAAACAAACAACAGAAACCAATCCCGAAGCTGGACAGAAGTGTTCACCTCAATCTATGGCGGTGGCTGGGGATGAACACCCCAATCTACCGCTCGGAATGAAGCTGGACATGGCAGATCACCTCGTGATGTAATACAAAGGTCAAAGCGTAAGCTCATTTGCGGCGCCGAGGCCAAAGGAAGAAAGAGAGCGATAGAGGCAGGAGTGGCAGCAACTATAAGTGCACTCTCCTCCTTTCCCACTCCACCTCCAACAGCAAGGGCACTTCCTGTGGCGGGCGCCAAGAGCTCCGCCTTGAATAGAGGCAAGGAACCGGCTGCCCATGCAGGAAAGCGCCCTCACTTGAGCACATCCACGGAGGGAGCCCAAAGAAGGTTGAAGAAGCCGCGCAACGACAGTAATGTCGCTGCACCTCCCAAAACCTTCGCGGAGGCCGCCGTGAGACACCTCAAGGTTGCCAAAGAGAGTGAGTGTTCGGCGAGTCTTGACCTACACCTGCCGATATATAGAAGATATCTCCCAGAGACTTGTCCACCTTCCTGGGAAGAACAGGATGGACGATGACCTAGAAGGATAACTCCTCGGGAGGATGTACAATGGGTCACATGTGGCCTTACTGCTGTGGGCCTACACTCGCCGTCCCTACTCTACCGATACAGATACAGATGTCTTGGCACAATCATGTCGCTGGAATAGCAAAGGCTGCTTCTCAAAAGCTTGGAGCACTGTTCAGCAACACCTCAGCAACTTTTGATGCTTCATAAAGCTTAGATCAGACCTTCTTTGGAGTACTGTTCTCATGTATGGAGCTCCGCCCCTAAGTATACCCTGAAGCTGATGGATTCAATCCAGAATAGAGCCAGTGGCCTGATTGGAGACGCCAACATCACTTGCAACCTTGATAGTCGGAAACATTGAAAAAAAAAAGTTTGGAAATTTGTCTTTCTTTTATAGATACTTTCACGAGAAGTGTTCAACATTTGATTCCACCAAGAGCAGTACATGCCAAAAATACGCGACGAACTGTGACTGCTCGTCGTTTTGAAGTTCACACTTCGAACTTCACTGTTCAAAATCTCTTTCATTTGGAGACCTGCGTTTATGAGGAATGTTTTTGTTGTGCTTGTGGTTTGTCCTTAAAAAAATAGTAGAAGGACAAGAGTACTCAACACTATGACCTGCTTGCTACATTTAGAAGAGAAAAGTTTAAAACTCAATATTTTCGTAATACATTGATTTCATCTCTTGATGACGTTAATTTCGTTAGCGAAACGCGTATCGGGAGACAATATTTCTGTTCTTGTGTGGGACAATTATTTTCAATAGATACACTTTACACCAGATCATCCAGATATACCTAGCAGGACTTTTTCTTACCCAAAGGAGTAACGAGCGCAAACGTCCCAATATACAAAACTACCAACATCGTCTTCGTCTTGGAAGTCACCAACTCCACCCCAACACAAAACGCGATCACCAGTTTATGAGTAGCTATAGCTGCGAACAAGTACCACACCTTCTCCACGCTAGCTTCCAACCCCACGGCTAACCCTTCGAACACGGCGTGGAAACTCAAAGCCAGCACCACCAGAAACCCACCAAAGGAGTTCTTTATCGCGGCATCCACATGGTGGTGGTCATGGGAGTGCTTCTCGAAATTCACCGTCGTCTGCGAGTTGAGTAAGTCTTTGTTGGACGTGCTGATGTAGCTGATGTTGCCGTCGTCGAACTTCGCCAGTGTCACCCTCGGGATGGTCAGCTCCTTCTTGGAGGAGCATCTTCTGGTGGACAGCGAACGGTGGAGGCCAGCGCTGTGCAGCTTTCTGTCTAGGAAGATGTGCGCTAGCTCCTCCACCAGGTAGACGAAGAAGAACCCCAGGCAGAAGACGATCTCCGAGAGGGGGATCCCGCCTGGCATGTCGGCCACTAAGTGTTGACGCTTGAGAGCTTCGAAACCTTCCCTGACTTCGGGCTGGAGGTGGATGAACGTGGTGAACAGCAACACTCCTCCTCCGAAGCAAAGAAGAAGAGATATCAGCAGGTTCTTATCGCCGTCTACCGATTTTATGGATATCATCTTCGTAAGCTTAATGGGCAGCATACCCAGGAGGAACGAGGTTGCTCCCAGAACTGTCATGGCGACGACTTTGGCCACTAGCAAGTCGTTGGTTGAGGGCGCCTGGATCGTCGAGTTCGTCACTACACTTTCCATTATGTCTGTTTATTTTATCACAGTTTTTGATGAACAATTCGATTCCTCACTCCAATTCTGAGATCTCTTGATTCATGGTCGCATCGAGTGCGGGCAAGTCTGAAAAATAAATAGGAAGATAAATATTTGAACTGCGCTTAGCGGTTGTTAACTTTATATCTAATCAAATGTACACATATTTTCGATTGTTAAAAATGTTGGTAGCGTTTTATGTTGTCCCACGATTGTAGAAAAGCATCGTTTACAGTAGTTGTCAAAATGTTTTATGTAATGATAATAAATACAAAAATACAGTGTGTTCCTTAAACGATGTTACTGATAATATCAGGAATGGAACCTTCAAATACAGATAGCTAGATCTTATTAATGGTTCATTGCGTCTTCTTTTCTATTGAAATTATTCCTGTGTCACCGTGGACCAGCCTACCCAAGCTAAGGTGTAAGGAATCGTGCAGACAGCTAAAGTTGTCCAGTCATTTTAGGTCGATTTAGGCGTGTATTTCGGAAAGTTGACATACCCAGCTGTAAATTTGCATAAACTTTCTATTTTGGCATCATAAAAGTATTCTCAAAATTCACATATGATTCGACGGCCGCAACTTCAAAAATTGGGGGTCAAAAGTCAAAAAAACCGACTTTTTGCAAGTTTTCAGCCAATATCTCGTTTCCAATGGGTTTAATGCTAATTGTATTCATTATCAATATTGTAGAGAATTAAATTCTCTACAACTTTCCATAAAATGATTCCATAAAATTTGCCCCCCGTAACAAGATAGCTTCTGCGTATCGTTAGGATGTGCGAACGAAGAGGTAAATCAGTTCGATAAATACTTTGAAACATCGGTAAACTGATCAACACTTCGCAGGTCTATTATATTTGTGTCCTTAAAATGACATAACTGGTCATTCGGTTTCTTCATTATCAAGCGTCCTTATCTGCATAGGCGTAGTGTATTCTATTTCTTGTGAAGGTGACTTTGTTTTGTATTTATTAAATATATTTTATTATATTTATTAAATAGACTGTTATATTTATTAACTTTAAAATATAAGATAGAGTTGGCCGATACTTGTTTTTCAAAATACATTATCATAGATTTTCATCACATTCACACTGTGAGATAATTAGTTGACCTAGTCATTAAACTCATGTATAAATGTTCCTTAGGTATAACTGTCGTTAATTAGTTCCTAGAATAGTATTAGTTTCTAGGTAGATAGTAATATTTTAAAAAGTATATATAAATCACAATGTATGTAGAATTCAGTTTCTTAGTGAACACACTTGAAAAAGCTACTGTGCAGCGAAACACGTGTTGCGGATTTGTTAATCTGTTCTAGTGTAAATCTCACAATAAAGTGTTTTTCAAAATACATACAACTTTAAAATAGTTTTTGAGGTAAGTAAGCAACTGACAAATAGCTGAATAATATGATTGAATTTTATTATATTTTGGTACGCCTCTGCAGAGACCAACTCTGCAGAGGATTACCCGTTGGTCACTTCAAGTGGGACGTTACTAATGAATCACCTTCAATTGAAAATTGTTATAGTATAGGGGAAAGAAAAGTCGATATTGTATACAGGATGTTTCATTTGAAAATCAAAGTTTCTATTACTAGACTATAATTCAAAATAAGCTTATAGATTTGTTATAATCTACGCAGTACAGTAGCCTTTTGTTCTCTGAACAACATTATTTTCACTGCAATATAAATAAATACCGGTGATTATATTATCGCGCTTTACCTTCAAATGACACTCACTCATATTATAGTTAACATCTAATTCCAGTTTTAGAAATCGCAGACAGCCACGGTATTCGTGAATGTGGAAAGTTGTGTTATTCTACATGTTTGCAATAATATTATCGTTGCTCTTAGGACATATCAGAAATAGCGGTTGTTGAACCGACTATATTCGACAGAAAGGTGAATGATTTAGCAAACGAAGAAAACTACCAGCATCTTATTGGTAAATTAATTGGGTAACATAGAAAGTTATTGGATATGTTTATTTCAATTCCAGTTGTTGTGTTCTAAATTCCTATGTCAAATAAGTGTTTATTGTTCAAATTTTCTGTTTCTGGCAAAGAAATGCTTTGGCTTTTTACTTTTCATTCAAAATAATGTGGTAATAATTTTCCAAAGAGAGGAAGAAAGTAACTAATTTTAAAATTCATGCATACAAATAGGTAACTTTCAGACACAAACTAGAAGAAAAATTCCTCTTGTAACAGCTAGTTTCATATAAATATTGAATCAGACGAAAGAAAAATACTTTTATAGGAACACTAGAATATACAAAAAACACTTCTATTCAGTTTGTATTCCAAACATCCGTTATGGAATTGAAACAGATATCAATAACAGGATTGCTACCCAATAAAGTAAATGAAAGAGGTGAAATTTCGCTTACACTGTCACCCTCAATAGTGGACATTCGATGTTTCGGAATAAGATACTTACATTCTTGTATCTTCAGCATCAATCTTGATAACATTACAAGATGTAATTTTGTTTCGAGAGGGACTTTTTTTTCCAGTTTATATCTGTTTATTACTTCTTTGCATGATCTACACATCTGCATGTTCTATTATCGTCTGCTGTTTTGTTTGTTTCCGTGGCCTTCATAAAAAAAGGGGTTTGAAACACAGAGTGTCTCAAAATGATGTTGTTCAATATCTCTTCTGTTTTGTTTTTCCGTTAATCAGCTGTCGCTTCCATACGAACGACAACTCTCACAAGTTGAGAAACTTGTGCGAGCTAAGGACTAACTAGGTCTTACCTTTTAACGTGTGATTCCTAACACGGTTGCAGAATCATCCCAGTTTCAACCAGATAAGTTCTCGCAAGAAAATATCTGGTCGAGGCAGGAATCGAACCCACGGTCTTCCGATCGTGAGTCGGGCGCACTACCACCGCGGCCAATTCCACAACTGAATTAAGAATATTTTTGATGAAATAGTTGACACAATTTATTTATAATGGTTATTTTAACGCCTTAGACGTGTTTCGATCACCAAGTGATCATCTTCAAGAGGAAGATTAAACCACAGTAAGCCCCCTCACTTGTTTGGACTACCCAAAATCCACAAGAAGGATGTTCCGCTTAGACCGATCATCAGCTCCAGAGATTCGACAACCCAAAACTTGTCTAGAACCATGGAAATACTGAACTAGACACCTTGAAATACATCAACAGCGTAAGACCTTCCATAACTTTCCCAAAAAAAAAAAAAAATAATCACTCCTAAAAATATAACCCCTTCAATTCATTTTATATAATATTATACAATGAAAGTCCGAACTAATGAAATTCAGGAAAATCAAACTTCATTCCCTATATCAGTGGTCGGCAACCTCTTCAATGTGTTTGTTAATTTTGGAATAAATAGCGAGCTACCCACACGGAAGCCACGTAACGCAACGTAAATGAAATAATCCACAGTTAATTTATCATTATATGTATTTATTTCACTATTTAACTGGTAATACATAATACATAGGTACTAATAATAAACTAATAACAAAATAACTAATATTACTAGTACGTACTTGTTCATAGCTACATTACTACCAATCAAACGAAGGTGTTTGAAAAATAAACACAAACTTTTATCCAGCCACAACGGCATGTCACGTATGATTTAAAAATAGTTAATAATAACAACAAAAAAGTAACGCACTATCATGAACATTAATATTGAAAAATAAAAAAGCACGTTCAATGAGAAGCCTGACACTCAGACTCATCGATAATTTTTTTAATGTTTGCAGTATAATTTGATGCAGCCATTCGAATACAATTATCCAAATGTTCATCTGTAAGTCGATTGCGATATTTGTTCTTAATAAACTTCATATTGGAAAAAGAAGATTCACACAAATAGGTTGAACTGAATAATGCTTTCACTTTCAAGGCAACACGGCATAGAACTGAATATTTGTCTTTACTTACAATAGGCCAGATACATTCAGTACTTGAGACTAACGATTTTAAGGCTAAATCATTTTGAAACTCAATGACTTCCATTTCTGTTGCAGCGATGTCTTCGCCAAAGTTCTGCTTAACACAAGTTGCAAACTGTTGGATATCAATTTCCATAAAGGGTGAAACAACAAACTGCGCTACTAAAGCCATTTCATTGAAATCCTTAAAACGATTTTTGAAATTATTCTTCAGGGTAGAAATTATTTCTACATGATATTTGTTGTCATAGGGTTCTAATGGATTTTGAGATATTTTTTCTGAAAGAATAGGAAAATGCTTGGCATCGCTGTCAATTAGGTTTTGTTCCCAAAACTCCAGCTTTTTGATAAATGCTTTTATATCAGAAATCATTTCCGCTAGTTCTTTGTCTCTCCCCTGAAGCTGCAAATTAAGTTCGTTTAATTTCTCTGTATTGTCCACGAAAAAACCAAAATCTCTAAGCCAGATTGAATTTTCTAGTTCCGGAGTCGGTTCATCGCGTTGTTTGAAAAATTGAACTATGCCAGATAGGACATCATTAAAACGTTTCAGCACCCGTCCTCTACTTAACCATCGGACTTCAGAGTGAAGGAGTAGGTCCCCGTATTGACAGTCAACTTCATCGACCAAGGTTCTGAATAATCTTCTTTGTAACGCTTGAGCTCTAATCTTGTTCACAATTTTTACCACCAGTTTCATAACGTTGTTTAGTTTCAGGAAATTTCCACATAATGCTTGTTGATGGATAATGCAGTGGTAACAGAGAAATTGCGGAAAAGTTTCATCTTTACGACATAACGCCACCAGACCCTTATCACAACCCACCATAGCTGGAGCGCCATCGGTTGTCAAGCCTACCATTTTCGATATTGGAATTTTCTCGGAAGAAATAATATTTTTTAAATGAGAAAACAACTCATGTCCAGTAGTGTGTCCTTTCAGTGGAATGAACTTCAAAAGATCTTCTTTAATCCTAAAATCACTAAAAACCATCCTGACGAACACGGCCATCTGGGCAACGACATCTGTTGATTCATTTCATTCAGTTGAAGTGAAAAATAAACACAGTTATCTAAGTCATTTCTTAACTGTAAAAAAATATCATTGCTCATTACTTCAACACGTC